CAAGTCCTACAGAACCGGGCTCCTCCCTACAGGGACCCAGATGGGGTTCCGAGAAGCACCGTCCTAAGTCCGCAGAAGAAACCCCCCCAGAGCCAAGAATGTGCCCAACCCGGCCAACATTTTGAAAGATAAAGGGTACCACACGACAGGAGCAAACACCACGTGTGATTTCAGCCAATCGTCCTGTAATAACTGGACTCCCATTTCCGACTCTGGGAAATGGCGTTCGGAGGAGTCCGGGCTGGGAAATTCCACGCGTGGCATTTAATTTAATCACACCTAATGATGCCGTCTTCTCTTTACACGACCCTGTGTCACACTGTAAGAGGCATTTTCTACGGTCAGGCATTTCACAGAATAAGTCTTTGTTTTACATTTGTCTCCTTGCCTAGAGAATGATTTGCATGAGTTCAAGGGCTCTTATCACTGTATGGTTCCTGCGTGTGAATCACCAAGAAGGTGGGTGTGGTGGACAGAATAATGTTCCCCAAAATGTTGTTTTACTCTGTGGAACCTGTGACTATGCCGCCTGACCTGGCAAAAGGGAGTCTACAGATATGATTACATTAATGACCTTGACCTGGGGCGCTGACCCTGGGTGAGCCCGGTGTAATTTCACAGTCCTTTATAGCAGGGAGGCAGGGGGTCAGACTCAGAGAAGGAGGTGTGAGGACAGAAGCAGAGGTTGGAGGGAGAGGGCGATGTGAAGGTGCTGTGGTGCTCGCTTTGAAGATGCAGGAAGGGGCCATGAGCTAAGGAATTTGGACAACAAAGCTGGGAACAGTAAGGAAATGGATTTTCCCAAGAGCCAGTGTCCTTTAGGGGCTCAGGAATCCCACACTGGTTCTGTCGCCTTGAGGTGCCTCTGGGGCACTGACCAAAAACAAGAGGTGCTGAGCTCAGTGGAAAGATCTGGATGAAGGAGTTAAATCTGGGCTGAAGGTCAGCCAACGTGCAGATGAGATTCTCTGCAGAAAGAAGAGAGAGGGTGTGAAAAGAGGGTCCAGCAGCAAGCCTCCCCAGGTCCAAATGCAACTCTGTCCTGGTTTCCAGAGACACACTACCTTCCTGAGGGTCATGCATGTGGGGTTTAAAATCTGCAGAGAAAAGGAACACGGGACCACCGTAGGATGACTGGAGTCATCTCAAAACTCAAGGGCACTACAGATAAATGCTGGAGACAGTGTGGAGAGAAGGGAACACTCCTACACTGTTAGTGGGAACGGAAGTTGGTGTAGCCACTATGGAGAACAGTATGGAGGGTCCTTAAAAAATTAAAATTGAGCTACCATATGATCCAGCAATCCCACTCCTGGGCATATATCCAGAGAAAACCATAATGTGAAAATATCCATGCACCCCAATGTTCATAGCACCACCATTTACAATAGCCAGGACATGGAAGCAACCTAAGTGTCCACGGACAGATGAATGGATAAAGAAGATGTGGCACATATATATAATGGGATATTACTCAGCCACAAAAAGGAATGAAATAATGCCATTTGCAGCAACATGGATGGACCTGGAGATGATCATACTAAGTGAACTAAGTCAGACAGAGAAAGACAAATACCATATGATAGCGCTTATATGTGGAATCTCAAAAATTATACAAATGAAGTTATTTATAAAACAGAAACAGACTCGCAGACATAGAGGACAAACTTATGGCTACCAAAGGAAAAAGGGTCGGGGGGAGGGATAAATTAAGAGTTTGGGATTAACAGATACACACCACTATATATAAAATAAACAACAAGGACCTACTGTAGAGCACAGGGAACTATATTCACCACCTTGTAATAACCTATAATGGAAAAGAATCTGAAATAGCACATATATATATATGTGTGTGTGTGTGTATCACTGAGTCACTTTGCTGTACACCTGAAACACAACATTGTAAATTAACTATACTTCAAGTAAAAAAAAAAAGAGAACAGTCAACAGAGCATTGTATATAAATGAAAATAAAATTACTTAAAGTGCTTTCCCTTTAAAAACAACAACAACAACAACAACTTGGGCTTCCCTGGTGGCACAGTGGTTAAGAATCCGCCTGCCAATGCAAGGGGACACGGGTTTGGGCCCTGGTCCAGGAAGATCCCACATGCCGCGGAGCAACTAAGCCCGTGTGCCACAACTACTGAGCCTGCGCTCTAGAGCCCACAAGCCACAACTACTAAAGCCCGTGCACCTAGAGCCCGTGCTCCGCAGCAAGAGAAGCCACCGCAATGAGAAGCCCGTGCACCGCAATGAAGACCCGACGCAGCCAAAAATAAACAAATAAAATGAATAAATTTATTTTTTAAAAAACCCCAGCAACTTAAGGGTGAGGGTGCATTATGGAGAACACATTGGTATGTCTTGCCTACGGTATTCTCCCCAGAGCTCTCTCCACTGCAGCAAATATTTCTCACTAAAATTCTGTTGACCCAAAGCAGAGATCTGTTGGAGAAAGGCATCAGATTTGAGATGCATAATTTCCCCTACTTCCTGGCAGATGGAAGGCTGTACTGAAACTGCAGAAAAGACCCTCAGTGGATATTCAGTTCTGTTGTGCCTGTGTCTATAAAATCTCAGGAATCCTGCACGACGGCAGCATACAGGGCACGCACTGCCGTCACTGATTCCTGAGGGTGTTAAATTTAATGTGAGAAGAAGATGTGTGGCTCCACACGTCTCCACGGCCCCTCCATGTAACTCACCTGTACGTGTGGCAACTTACAATGTTTTCTTTCTAATCGAGGAGGACACAGATAAACACCCACCAAAGGAACCCCACCCCAGGGCTGAGGATCCCGAGTGGCCATGTCCTTGGAAAGCATTTATTTCTGCAAAGAGGTCTAAGGCATAATCATTTTGGCGAACTTGAAAAATATCAACCAAGCGTACATTAAATTCATTCTGAACCTTCCCAGAAGAGCTGCCAGCATTAACGACACGCAGAGTACTTTCCCGGGCTAAGTAGAGGGAAATGGTATTAGTTGTAGGTGTTTCATAGGTACCCACACATCAGGAATAAAGACACAGACCTACTAGAGAATGGACTTGAGGATACGGGGAGGGGGAAGGGTAAGCTGTGACAAAGCGAGAGAGAGGCATGGATATATATACACTACCAAACGTAAGGTAGATAGCTAGTGGGAAGCAGCCGCATAGCACAGGGAGATCAGCTCAGTGCTTTGTGACCGCCTGGAGGGGTGGGATAGGGAGGGTGGGAGGGAGGGAGATGCAAGAGGGAAGAGATATGGGAACATATGTATATATATAACTGATTCACTTTGTTATACAGCAGAAACTAACACACCATTGTAAAGCAATTATACTCCAATAAAGATGTAAAAAAAAAAAAAGCCACAGATGCATACGTGTAGCTTTGGAGACAGAGTTTATATCCCATGCATTTCCCTTAAGTGGGAATTTCTAATTAAACAAGTGGATTGAACAGCAGTATCTCTATCTGACCCTGACCACCAACCCCATTAGTATTACGGGAGAAAGATAGAATACGCAAGACAAAGAGAAAGGTGAGGAAATGACAACAAGCAGATCTCGGGAGCCAGAATCAGATGGACAGTGTCACAGCCTCAAGAGGAGGAACGACGCTCCCTCGCCTTGAGATGTGTCCGCACATCCTAATCCCCGGCACTGCGCGTAGGGTCCCTCCGAAAAAGGGGCACCAGCAAAAGGGACTTCCGAGAAGGGATTAGCTTAAGGATGTTTAGATGCGAAAATGACCCTGGATTATCCACGGGAGGCTCAGTATAATCACAAGGGTCCTAGTTTTCTCTGCCATCCAAAATACGAATAATTTGGGACTTCCCTGGCAGTCCAGTGGTTAGGACTCAGCGCTTTCACTGCCGTGGCCCTGGGTTCAATCCCTGGTCGGAGAACTAAGATCCCACAAGCCACGGGGCGTGACCAAAATAAATAAATGAATCCATAAAATTGCTTAAAAACCCTGGAAAAGAGAAAATCTCAGAAACAGAATAAAAGACATTTAAAAAAAACCGAAATACAAATAATTTGACAAATGTTTTATCTATTTGGGAAAAAAATACAGTGGCTGTAACTCACTTTTATGTCTATTCCTTTTACTGTTTTAATTAATTAACTTAATTATTTTTGGCCACGCTGTGTGGCATGCGGGATCTCAGTTCCCCGACCAGGGATTGAACCCGTGCCCCCTGCCTTGGGAGCACAGGGCGTTAATCACTGGACCGCCAGGGAAGTCTCTACTGTATCAATTTAACTATTTACCTCCTTTATATACTGGATTCTCCAAGTCTGAAAGCAATGTGTTAAATTCTACCAGCACAAATGTTTTCCAGGAGGCTTACAATAGTTTTCGTTCTCTACATTTATTGTTTGGAGAAGTTAATCACTGTGTTTCTCTGTGGAGAGTTTGGATGAACTTTTATGAAACAAGGTGACTGTAGCAGCGGAAGAGAGAAAGAGGCAGGGAAAAGGGCAGGCAAGTGAGAAAGCAGACGTGTTTCCAACGCTCTTAAGAGCTCAGCGTGGCTGACAACAGGGCTCTGGGTGGTCTGTGGCCAGGAGGTGGGTGGAAGGCGGGGGAGGGGAGACGTGGACTCCACATGTACGTTTGAAGAGTGCTGGCTGTAAGGATGACGTCAAGAGACAGTTGGGCGTGACGGTCTGGAGCCCAGATAATGATTGTCATGGAAACACACTGAGGCTTTAATAAAATAACCCTTGTGAAAACACCCAGCCCTTTGCATGTCCCTCATACATCTTAGCCCAAGTGGACCTGTCCAAGTTATCAAATCCACAGGACATATCACCACACTTTACATCATTTCCAAGCAACATCCTAAAATTGATTATTCTGATAACGAAAGCCAAACACATCAGTGGAACCAAGCAGTGGCAATAACTGCAACATATATTTCCTTGGGAATCCCGCTTTCCCAAGGGACCGCTAGAGCCCGTGTCTGTGTCTTAATTAACCTCTGGATTTCACCAGAACTCACCGTTATTGACCAGTACGTGGAGTGGGATTTTCTTCATCTTGAACCTCTGGACGAACTGCTGAATGGACCTCATGGACGCCAGGTCACAATACAGAAATTCCACTGGAGAAAGACAAAAATGCGTGGTTATCCTCCAATTTACCACAGATGCTAAGACGATTTCTAAAGAGGTTAACTTCTATCCCTCCTGGGAAGTAACACCGGATTAGAGTAAAGAGGAAGGTCCATTGTGGGCAACGTACGCTAAGAAGACCCTCTATGAGTTACGTCTTTGACGATGCCCTCTTTTTGAGTGTGGGTGGGACTGTGTCCTCTTATACGGCAAAGATTCTGGGATGCCACCCCTATGACTGTATTTCATTACACAATATTCCCTCTTGCAAGCAGACTAGAGGAAGAGAGATTCTCCTGCTGTTCTGCAAGAAATAAGTTGCCTCGTTGGGAGAGGGCCATGGGGCAAGACCCTCAGGGCAGCCCCTGGGAGCTGAGAACAGCTCCCACTCAAGAGCCAGCAGGACAGTCAGAACCTCAGACCTACAACCTCAAAGGACTGAGTTCATCCGACAACCATGTGAGCTCAGAAGACGATCCTGCGGTCCAGAAGGTAACTTAGGCCAGACAACCCTTCTGAGTGGAAGGCAGTTTTCTGGGTCATTCTGCAGCAGTGTGGTCCTTGCACTGTCGCAGCTGGCTCTGCTGAAGGATCGCTTTGGGTCTCCCCAGGCCCAGCTCTTGGTAAGATGCTCACAGAGATATCCGTGGTCCCAGGACCCAGGAACAGAGGGGAGTACGGCTTCCACATCCTAAGGACCAGCACCTACGGTGCCATACATCTCAGGGGGGAGACATGCCTGCAGGGTTTTGTTGGTTTGCGGTTTCTGTAGGAAGTTTTAAATATAATTACACCTGAGAGCCAGCAAAAGTACTCGCTTGGGAAGGTACATATTTTGCAACACATATGTTAGTGTTCACTCAGAAGAGACATTTTAAGATAATCTTGAGCACAGAGAATGGAACCTATGCGGGCCAAGTCACACAGCCACTGAGGACAAGCGAGTGTATATATTTATTAAAGTATTTTCCCTAAAAATTTATAGTGGGAGTCGGGGTGGGCATGCTCCTGGATCAGAGTTACTCAGCGTGGCCTATGGACGGGCACCATCCTGTGATCTGTTGGTTACAAGTCTGCCAGAGGACACGTTCAGAAATCGAGGATGCGTTTAGAAATTAAAAAAAAAAAAAATCAACAGTCATTTTATGTTTGCTGAATCCAGTGAAAAAAGAAAGCGACACTGGGCACTATCGTTTTGCATGTTTCTTACATGTATTTTCTCTCGTAATTCCTTTCTATTGTCTCCAATGGCATCAGGCTGTGACAGACTGGGGACAAGGGAGCTTTGCCACAGGGCGCTTGGAAGTCCTGCTCTAGAACACGGTGCCATCCGGACAGGCATTCCTGACACACTGTTCTAACTTCCGCCTGAAACACCCCCAAAAAAGTAAAAAAAAAAAAAAAAAAGGAAAACTCACACTACTGCTAATAACTCGAACCCACGGTAAAAGGGTGGGTGGACCCACACGCTCAGCTTCCAGAAACAGAGCACTGTTACTGGATCTTCGAAATGTCAGAAGATGAATTTTCCCTGCTCCTGGGGGGAAAAGGGTCAGAAATGACCAGAAACATGAGGACTGATGTTCCAAGTTGAGAGCGCTGCCTTGTGAAGGAGCTACTGGGTTTTGCTTTTCTGCCCATTCTTGTCATTAGCACCCACTTTCTACATCCTTTGAGGAGCTGGCCCCCACCCCTCACCTCTACAACAGCATCACTGGCAGGATGATGGGGTGACACTGCACAGGGAATATGAGCCCTCAAATCAAGCCCTACCGCTGAGAGGGGTAGACTGTTCCCTGCAGACCAGGAGGCTTTAAGGGCTCCATCCCTGAGAAAAGAAACGCCCAAGACAAGTTGCAAACTGTGAGGTCTGCCCCCCATCGAGCCGAAGTACCAGGATTGATCACTGACAGGATATGGGGACTCATGCATGTTAGGGGCTCACCTAAAACCCAAGTAGGGGCTGCATCCCCCCAACAACGCACATGGTGAGGGGGACAGGGGTAATTGACACAGCAGGGCTCCTGGCAGGGAGAAGGAGACACAAGTGACATTCTTCATTTTACCTGGGGTGCCATCACGAACACCTTCACTTCTATCTGGATAATTAGAGAAATGAAGGTTGCGATATTTTGAGAATGGTCAAGATACCCGTAGGAAATAAGAAATAGAACGTCTGCCATACAGAGGACTGGAACACAGGAGGTATACCAGTTGTCCGGGTAGCAAAACAGGAAACCCAGGAAGCAGGTAGGGGTGCAGTTCAAAAGAGTAAGCATGAACCCCAAGGGGGCTGGTCAGGATGCAAAACCAAGATGGTAGCCTCGTATGGGAAGACCACACTCAGAGTTCTCCTGGATATTTCATTACAGAGCTTTTTAAAGCAGGGATTGAAAATTAAAAGGCTGAAAAGTATCAGGCAAACAAGGAGAAATCAAGCAGGGCTGGCCCTACTGACATAAGGTGGAGATGATTCAGGACTAAAATATTAATGGGGCAACGTGGATCGTTATCTGTGGGTCCAACGCCCAGTCAATTTGAAGTCACGATAGTCATGTGCCATGTTCTCAGAATAACACAATATCGCAGTCTGTTTCTCAGGAACTCTTGGGAATGCGGGGAGAAGTGGACAGAACCAAAATGGTTATGGGAGAAATGAGTGTATGTCTTTGAGCATCTGACAGATCGATAGACAAAAAAAAAAAAAGAAGACAGAAACAAAGACCCAGAGAAGACTGTGGATAATATATCTGACAAGGTTGAAAATGCAAATTTACAAATAGGGACGAGTCTATCGTAGGAAGAAGATTTTAAAATGATAGGTGTGTGCTTCCAACGATATTAATAATATGCTAGATTTACAAGTCAAATATGAACATCTCAAGGAAATGAATGCTTTTCTGAGAAAAATGCTGATTGTTACGACCTAATCAAGGAAATCAGGACTGATCAGAGCAACAAATATGGGAGAAAGAGAAAAATTAATGAAAGAATGACATCCAGAAAAGGCAGGGACAGTGTCCATGGTATTTTAGCAAATTTCGTCTGACTTTCAAAAAACAGATAATCCCACCTCTATTGACTGATTTAGAACACGTGGGCGGGGGGGGAAAACCTGAGTTGATTCTTTTTATGAAGTGTGCCTTGTTCTGATACAAAAATCTGCAAAGAAATAGCACCAGAAGGAGAGGGGAGTTGACATCAATACTCAGAGAAGGAAAAAATCACAAACAAGAATGTAAATTAAAACGTTTCCACTGGGATAAACATAAGCACGTATGAGGAAAACACAAGATGATTTTTAGAGAGGCTGCCTGTTCAGAGATGATTTCTGCCGTGAACGTGCTCCTAGAATTGGTTCTGTGCATCTCACCATAACCACTACCTGCCTTGGAACCTAACAGGGGTAATTTTAGGGCCACCAAGACCCTGAAAGGCTGAGAGGCACCGTTTATGGTGAAGGGGGTTCAGGTGGGGGCAGCTTTCAAATATCGCGACACCAAGCACAGCCCCCGTACACGGGGCCAGCGGGTCCCAGAAAATCTGCCCCTCCCTCTCTCCAACAGGGAACAGGGCTCACGCTTCCTGTGTGTCAGGGCAGCAAGCACTGTCCGGCTTCATCACAGACGAATTCGGGGAGCTGCCGGCTGCTACATCCATGCCAGGCAGGGATGCAGCTTCCGGAGTCCTGGCCCTGTCTTCACTCCAGACAGAGGAATAGGGGCTCCCAAAGGACCAGGATGCACCCAGGAGGAGAACAGCTTGGTTATCACAGCCTGCCTCCCACCTTTCCCTATATTTCTCTATTTAAAAGACAGAGGTGAAAGAGCACCCATAAAGTGATATGAAAAGGACAAACAACCTTATGAAAAAATGGACAAGAGACACGAGCAAGCACGCCCCAAGAGAAGAAAACTGAATGCCAAATACACACCCTAAAAGACACGCTATCTCAACAGCAAGTGGGAAATGCAGATTAAAACCAGAAGATGTCACTTCACATCCACCAAGGTGGCAAAAACGTCAGACCTCGCATTATCAAGGTTGCTGACGATACAGAATACAGCAGTACACGTATACATTGCTCTTTGGAATATAAACTGGTCCAGATCTTTGGAAAAGAATGTAATATTACACAATCATTTTGAATATGTGTGTAGCATTGGACTGAGCAATTCCACGCCTAGGCGTATATACCCTAGAAAATGTCTCACCCCTGTCCACCAGGTGATGTGTATAAGAACATTTGTATGCGCATCGTTTCTATGGGCAGAAACAAACTCACCAGAAATAGATCAAATGCCTGTCAACCAGAAAAATAATAATTCATTCCTTAAAAATAAACGTGACATATACACACCTCTTGGCTGTTCTAGACAGACAGACAGACTCAAGTCTGTTGAGACGCGAGATGCTATTTTCTAGGTAGGAAGCAGAACCAAGCTGCCCCTAAAACCAGATAGGGAAAACGGACCGAGGGAGATTAGTGTGTGTGTGTGTGTGTGTGTGTGTGTGTGTGTGTGTGTGTGTGTGAAAGAGAGAGAGACAGAGAGACAGAGAGAGAGAGACAGAGAGACAGAGAGAGAGTCAGAGACACAGAGCGATCCCAGGCACACAGTGAGAAAAGTGAATAAACCAATGAGCATTTTTCTCTCTGGTTCTGCTGGTGACGACCACCCTTCCATGGCTCCTAAACAGGGGGATGTCTCCCCAGGACACATCCTGAGAGGGGTGCGTTTTCCCGGAATAGGAGGCTGTACCCAGAAAGCATCCTGAGGACAGCTCTGCATCAGGACCAGGACACGCATGCGGAATGAACTCCTCGCAGCCTCTCTTCCGGAAGCCCCCCGCCCCGCAAGGGCGGTCTTCCCGGAGCAACTCAGCATCACTGACAGCATCTCAGGAAACATCTCAGGAAGCAACCGCATTCGGAACCACGGGGCCTGGCTGACGTGCTTTCTCGGGGGCCGTGACTCCACACAAGGCGGAT